CAGCTTGCTTAGGCGTAGCATTAGGATTTTTGACTTGGACATGGATGCCATTGTAGCAGCCTTGCATGTGATGTATGCCGATGACTCTAGTGTGCTTCCCTCTTATTACCCCGTGTTGCCTAGTGTAGCTGTGCCTAGCGTAGACTCCCCTGCTGCGTCAGGCGTAGGATCTCCTGCTTTGCTTAGCCTCGGTGCTTCCACCGCTACACTGCTGCCTCGCGCGACTGCTGCGCTTTCCTTCACCTTGGACTCTGGCGCCTCCCGGTGTTTCTTCCGCGACTCCACGACGCTGACGCCGCTGCCTGTTCCCGCTGCAGTTACTCTTGCTGACCCCTCCGGTGGTCCCGTCGTTGCCCGCAGTTCCACCTCCCTTCCCTGTCCGGCGGTTCCTTCAGGTTCGCTCACCGGTCTGCATATCCCCTCGTTCTCCAGGAACCTAGTTGGTGTCGGCTGCCTCCAGGACCTTGGCGTCACCACTACGTTCCCTGGTCACGAGCGGTATGCTGTCTGTACCGAGGCCGCCACTGGTGCCCTCCTTACCACTTTCCCCCGGGACCCGGTGTCCGGCCTGTTCACACTTGACACCCCGACGTCCCCGGCTGGGTCTTCCCCCCAGGTAGCTGCGTCCACCCAGGTTGCTGCCGCGTGCTCCTGTCGGTCCCTCACTCACCCGACTCTCCTTTGGCACCACCGCCTTGGTCACCCTGCACTCCCACATCTGCGTCACATGTCCCAGCACGGTCTCGTCCTTGGTCTCCCAGGTTCGTTCCCTGAGTTTCCCTCCTCCCCCGCCCCACCGTGCACGCCTTGTGTCGAGGGCCGGCTCCGCCGTGCCCCTCACTCCTCCTCTTTTCCCCCTACCACCGCACCACTGCAGACTCTGCACATGGATGTCTGGGGCCCAGCCCCGGTCCATGGGCCGCGTCGCGAGCGCTTCTTCCTAGTGCTTGTCGACGACTTCACGCGCTACACCACCGTCTTCCCCCTGGAGCGGAAGGCCGACGTGCCTGACGTTCTCATCCCCTGGCTTGTCTCTGCTCGTGTCCACCGCGGTCTCCCTGCCTTGCGCCTCCACTCCGACCGGGGTGGCGAGTTTGCCTCAGGTGTCCTTGGTCGCTTCTGTCGTGCGGAGGGCATTACCCAGACGTTTACCCTGCTGGACTCCCCGCAGCAGAATGGGGTCGCTGAGCGACGCATCGGTTTGGTCATGGAGGTGGCTCGCACCTCCATGATCCACGCCGGTGCACCCCATTTTCTGTGGCCGTTCGCCGTGCGCTACGCCGCTCACCAGCTTAACCTGTGGCCGCACCCCCAGCGGCCGCAGGTTTCGCCGACCCTTCTGTGGACCGGGTCCCCTGGTGACGCGTCTGCGTTCCGCGTCTGGGGCTGCCTTGCTCACGTTCGTGCCTCTGGCACGGACAAGCTCACTGCCCGCACTCTCCCCTGCGTCTTCCTCGGTTTCCCCCTTGACGCGTCCGACTGGCACTTCTACCACCCGCCGTCTCACCGCTTTTTTCACTCTCGCGACGTCACCTTTGACGAGTCCGTCTCCTTCTACCGCCGCTTTCCCCACCGTGGTCCCCCGGTTACTCCCCCCCTGTTCCTGGTTCCTCCCTCCCTGGTGGTCCCTGCCCCTCCCCCCCCCGCCCCCCCGTCCGGCCCCCTCTGGTGTGTCTCACGTCACCCCCCTCCCGTCGGTCGTCCCAATCGACGAGTCTTCTGACTCTGGTAGTCCTCCGGCGCAGTCCTCGCCGTCTGTCCCTCCCCCGGTGTCTCCTCCTCCACCGCCTCCGCAGCCGCCGTCGCCGCAGCTGCTGCAGCCGTCGTCTCCACCGCCGTCGCCGTTGCAGCCGTCGTCTCCGCCGCCGCCGCCGTCGCAGCCGCCGCCGCCGCCGCCGCTGTCGTCGCTGCCGCTGTTTGTGGACTCTGGGGGTGGTACCGGTGCTGGTGGGGTTTCGGGCTCTGGGGGTGTCCCTTCTGGGGGTGCCGGTGTGGAGGTTTCGGGAGGTAGCCGTCGCACAGCTTGTGGCCCTGGCGTTGGTGTTGTGTCGCCGCAGCAGCAGTCCCCGCCGGTGTCCGCCCTCCGTCTGCTCGGCCTTCCGTCCCCTGACCCTGCGCCTGTTCCTCTCCTGCCGTCTCCTCCTCTTCCCGTCTACGGCCCTGTGTTCCCTCTGCCGGACTCGTCCCCGGCTCTTCTTCCCCCTCGTTCCCCTCCTGTGTCCCCTCCTCTGTCTCCTGACCCGACGCCGCCCTCTCACGTCTGGTCTCGCCGCCCCTCCCGTGCTCGTCCTGTCTCCCCCGTCCCGCGCTCTCACCCTATGTTGCTCCGTTCCCACGCGTCTCGTCCTCCCCTCCTCCCGTCTCCTCCTCCGTCTTCTCTTGTCGTTGCGTCTCCTCCTCTGTCCGACTACTTTCGTGCCGCTCGTCCTCTTGTTCCTCGGGTCCTTGCCTCTCTCGTTACCGACCCGTCTGTTCCAGTGTCGAGTCTTGACGCCCTCGTCGCTGCGGTCGCTGACTTCGCCTCTACCCGCCGCCTTGACTACGCCACCGCTCTGGTCTCTGACCCTGCCTGTCCTCCGTCTGTCGGGGGTGCTCTTGCCCTCGGCAGTGACGTCCTGGAGGACCGCCAGTTCGAGCTTGCTTTCCTGTCCGAGGCTGCTCCCCATCTCTGTTCCATGCTGCTAGTCCCTGAGGGTGACCCAGACGCTTTCGACATCCCGACCCCTCGTACTTACGCTGAGGCGGTTTCGGGACCCTGGGCCTCTCAGTGGATAGCTGCCATGGAGCAGGAGATGGCATCTTGGAGATCCACCGGCACCTTCGTCGACGCAGTTCCCCCACCTGGGGTGAACGTGGTCGATGGCCGTTGGCTCTTCAAGGTGAAGCGCCCTCCTGGAGAGCCGCCTGTGTTCAAGGCGCGCTACGTGGCTAGAGGCTTCAGTCAGCGCGAGGGGGTGGACTTCTTTCAGACTTTCGCTCCTACCCCGAAGATGACTACTCTTCGGGTTCTGCTACACGTAGCGGCTCAGCGTGACTACGAGCTTCACTCCCTCGACTTCTCCACTGCCTTTCTTCAGGGCAGCCTTCACGAGCAGGTCTACCTGCGTCGTCCTCAGGGCTTTACTGGCACCTTCCCCCCTGGGACTCAGTGGCTTCTGCGGCGCCCAGTCTACGGCCTGCGCCAGGCACCTCGTGAGTGGCACGACACGCTGCGTGCTACCCTTGCTGACCTGCAGTTCTTTCCGTCCTCTGCAGACCCCTCGCTCTTCGTTCGTGCTGGCTCGACTCCGTTCTACATCCTCGTTTACGTAGACGACCTGGTCTTTGCCACAGCTGACAGGGACGCACTGGCCTCCGTGAAGGCATAGCTGCTGAAGAGACACACCTGCACTGACCTTGGAGAGCTGCGCCGTTACCTTGGCTTGCAGATCTCCAGGGACAGAGCCGCGCGCACCATCACCCTGACTCAGGCACACTTGGTGCGCCAGGTCCTTCAGAGGTTCGGCCTTCAGTTCTCCTCCGCACAGCCCACCCCTCTTCCTCTGGACCACAGACTCTCCGCTCCAGTTCCTGAGGAGTCGGTAGATCCCAGTGGTCCTTACGCTGAGCTAGTGGGTTGCCTCATGTACCTGATGACTTGCACTCGCCCAGATCTCGCATACCCTCTCAGCATCCTGGCTCGTTTCGTGGTCACAGGCAGACACAGACCTCAGCACTGGTCTGCCGCTAAGAGGGTTTTGCGTTATCTTGCAAGTACATCGGGCATGGGGTTAGTGCTAGGCGGACGCAGGCCAGTGGTCCTTACTGGACACACAGACGCTTCTTGGGCAGACGACGCCGAGACGCTCAGGTCTTCCCAGGGCTACTGCTTTAGCCTTGGCTCAGGTGCTGTCTCGTGGAGAGCTACCCGCTCCTCGTCTGTTGCCCAGTCCAGCTGTGAGGCTGAGATCTACGCCGGTGCCATGGCGGCACAGGAGCTCCGCTGGCTGACCTTCTTGCTCACTGACTTAGGTGAGCGGCCTAGCTCTGCCCCAGTCCTGTACGCTGACAACAGGGCCATGATCCTCCTGTGTCAGGAGCCTCGACTCGAGGGCAGAGCGAAGCACATCCAGCTGCGGTACTTCCTCCTGCGTGAGCTACAGCAGCGTCGCCAGGCTCGCGTAGTACACTTGGCCTCTGGTGCCAACACAGCTGATATCTTTACGAAGGCGCTTGCGCCTAAAGATCATCAGCGGCACTGTGTACAGCTTGGTCTGGTTCCTGTAGTCTCTCACTTACTCGGGCCTTGACTTTGTACTGTCCCATATATATATGAGTACACTCAGACTGGACTTGTGTCCTCTCACAGTGGTTGGACTAGTAGTGCCGCCCTGTACTAGTTCTTGCCTTGCCTGTACTCCTTCTGACTGGTCTTTTAGACCCTTGTCTCAGAGGCTGGACTAGTAGTGCCACCCTGAGCTGTTTGTCTAGAACATTCCCCTATGCAGTCCAGGGGGTGTGTCAAACATGTGTAGTTATCATGTTTGTATAGACTGTATAGGGTCACCTCCTAGAGGGTACAACATTTAGGTATATGTTTGTGTACTCTCCCTCTCTATTCATTCAATTTACTGTTTGATAGTTGTGACTGACCGTTACAATAGCGCGGATGGTAACCGAAGCGACAATCGAGTCGCTGTGCGACTCGATAAACCGCTCCTACAACTGTATTCTACAACTGCTCTACTTTCCTATTTTCTATATATTGCTGTATGCTTGTTTCTTTTATCAATCACTTGTTCTCATATACTAGTACAAGGGTTCAACTACTCAAACTTCCGCTGCACTACTCAAGTCTTTTACAACTGGGACTTAGTCTCTGAAAAGATCCCAAGGGCTTTTCTCAGCCCAACAGTTGGAAAGCCACTCCAGAGAAATGGCTTTCCATCTCCCCTGCCTAGCATGTCACAGACAGGTGTAGATCGGCCCTCTTACCTTCCTGAGTGCTGAGTCACAGCCAGCCACGGACTTTCGGGAAAGCAACCACAAATAAACCACCAGATTATGTATGCACAGCGAAGGCTAGTATTTAGTAACTCTCCTAAGACATAACCTCAGTATACATAGGTAACCCATCACCACAAAAAAAAACCCCGAGATTACCCTCCATGGCACCACCCACCACACAGCAAATGTATGTCAGCAAGCTCCTTCCAGCAGAAGCAAAATATATTCGTCTAATTTGGTGTAAGCAGCAGCGGTTCAAGCAGCATTTGGGTGTAGAGCATATCCATCCAGGAATCGGGAAGCCCAGGGAGACACCAGTGCGTACAGTCACCCTTGTCAGGTGTCCTGAACGCCGCCGAAACATCTGGCTGAATCTGATTCCACATGCCGAGATGCGCATCGGGCCTCGTCTCGCTCATCCTCGTTACACGCACATGACGGAACACCGAACCCCGCAGAGCGTTTTTCTGAGACTTGTAATAATCCTCAGCTACAGTCAAGTTACTGTACTCGTCCATCGCCTCTTCCCACTGCATGGGTCTTGTCGCGCCGCATGAACCCTCACCAGGATCAGTTGGGTTGACCGGACCGTGCTTGGGCGAAAAGCTCAGGAAATAGGGCATCCCGGGGTATTCAATTCGCGTGAGGAAATTCGCCCAAGATTTCACGGCGTACCACTGCGCGTTGACGTTGGTGATGTTCACAAGGCCGCCCTGGATGTAATACTGATCCGGCTGCTTCGGGCTGCCCGGAAAGTTTTGCGACCACCACACACCGGTCGAAAACAGCACCACGTCGTAATACGGGACGAGGAACTGAACGACGGGGTCGATCGTCGTGATGTTGACCTTGTAACCAGGCGTGCCCGTCTGGTTCACGATGGGCTTTCGCCTCTCCGCTTGCGTGAGGTAGGGCGAGAAATAGAAGTGCAGTGAAAAGTCGATCGACGGAAAGTCCACGCCTTTCAAGCCTTTGGGAGCACTGTCGTCGTCGAACGGCTGAAAGGCCAAAGCAGGAAGAGGGGCGGTGTATGATGGGGAGAAGTGAGTTCGGAGCAAGCGGATAAGCTAGGGACTTTGGGAAGCGTTAGATAAAAGCTTCGATTCATTCGAGAGACTCGACGAATCCCAATCCCCCCACCCTCCTTCCGTTCTCCACCCACCTTTCCCCGGTTGTCGGCGGAACTGATGAGACAGAGCAGCGACTGGTACGCGTTGTTCGTTATGGAGTCTCCCACCATAAGCATCCTCTGAAAACGCAAGGGTAAAAAATAACAGAGATCGATTGCATGAGCGTCTGAATGCTAGAAAAAAATGCATCTCCATCCATTCCGTCATCCCGTTACACGCACCTTGCCCTTCATGAGGAAGCCCCAGTCCTCCGGGGTGACATAGTCGAGATCGCACTTCTCCGGCTGCCAGCGCAGCTGGCGGTACAGCTGGTCGGGCCGGTTGTTCGTCTCGCAGTTGAAGCCGCTGCGGATGTATTTGCAGTAGTTCGACTCCCACCCCACGCCTGAGTACCGCTGCGGTTTATCGGCCGACTTTACCCATTTCCCCACCGAGTAGTCGCACTTCGCTGCGCAGGGGGAGAAAAGGGATGAATTTGACGATTAGTTATGGGCGAAGGTCTGCGTTGTGCAAGCGAAAGGAAGCGTCGCGCGAGTGAGCTTGATGCTGCGGTATAGAAGGTTGTGCATAATAACGAGACTGGGGCTTGTGAGCACTAGCTTGGATGCTGGCGCGACATGGTCGGCTTACCAGGACGAGGATCGGGTGCGGGATCCGCGGAGACTTGTAGTGCGAAGAAGATCACAAAAACACCAGCCAATAATGCTACTGCAAGCCTCGCCATGGCTCCGAAATCGAAGGACACGATACTATACTCGATCGAGAAGCAGCGAATCTCGAAAACAGGTAACTAGTTTTGCCGACTGCTGGAAAGGGATCAAGGTCCTAAGCTGGCCGTTTGAGCTTGATGCGGGAAATTCGCTCTAGGGTAGCGCAGGGCACCTACGTATGCCGTCGAAATCTGCCTAAACTGTGTTGCTTGTCAGGTTGTCTGGAGAATAAACTCACAAACACGGTCTTGCATCAACACATGTTGATGGGGAGGGAGGAAGATGAATTTTGGTGAAGGTGGAACGTGGAGTGGGGCAATCAGGCAAGGGCTGCTTTGGATGGTCAACCGAACAGGTGCGCCCAGCGGCAGTGGAAAGTTCTGCGTGCAATTTCTTCGCCTCGCAGCAATTTTGCATTCCGCCTTGATTCCGCCTGCATGCAAGGACCTTGGGGTTTCCAAGTCGCAGTGCTTCCCAATAACGAGCTCACCGACTTTTCACTAACGAGCGCGGTTCGTGGTATGACGAGCCGCTGATTGGTCTACGATAGAAAGGAACATGCTCGTGCTAATGTAACCATCCTTGGGCTTTTTCGTCTCCGTCGCTAGACCTTGGAACCCTTGACCGAAGTGCGGTTCCATAATGCTCGGCCCAAGCGATTCGGGTGCCTGGGCGCTGAGGTGAGGCATGCGCCACGAACCATCCCTCGATTGAATCCCTGAACCAATCATCAACTGGCAACTAGAATCTCTTTCATCCTCCCACCGCTGGTGATCGTGGCAAGATTGTTGGGATAAAATATTAATCATACCAATCTACAGCCAACAAGAGAAGCACTCCGAGCTTGGTATGAATTCAACAATATGTTCCTTCAATTGCTGCTTAAGTACAGCAATACAAATGTCAACTTATACAAGGGTTACACCACTGAACATGGCTCACAACATACTCAGCTAAAGTCAGGGTGCTCCTCGCCTGGTAGTGGTGCAAACCCATCGCTAATTCCTTGCAAGATGGCAGAAACTTCCCCAACGTTCACTTGAACGGAACTCTCAAAATCCCCTTTGCCGAAGGTTAGATAGTACCGCAGCTCGCACGCATGTGCCAGGTGATGATAGCACGCATTCTCGTATTTATCCGGCCGGATCTCCAGTACTGTAGCATTGGCGGGCATGAAGACCATGTTGGCCATAGCAGCCCCATGACCGGCTACAAAGAGGCGAGCCCTGCGAAACAGATTTCGTGCTGGCAGGGGAAGACGGGGGGGCAGAGCAGGGTAAAGAGGGAGGACAGGGGAAGAGGTAGCATGCAAATATGAGGCGAGGAAGCAGGGAGAATTAAGATGCTAAGTTAACATGGGTTTATCATTATATCTTAAAAAAACACGAGACCAGATTCAGACGAGTGTGTGTTTACCTTGAAGGATGGGCAGAGACCCATCAAACACGTGCACGCGCCTGTGGGTGAATATTTTTATTATTGACTCCAAAAGCTCGTCAAACTTGTCGATCGTCCTCTTTGTCCCCGGGCGGCGGGCGACAACGACGAGCCAATCAGGGGGGACCACAGAGGCGTTGGCGGTGTTCAGGGCGCTGACGTGGCGCGTGTCCCATTGGTTGTTGCGGAACACTGGGAGGCCTTTGGGCGGCAGCAGGAAGCGGTGGCGGAAGTCAGTCCAGAAGGAGGGGCTCGCCTTGCCGCATGCTTGGTATAAGGGCTGCGATAGAAAGGAAAAGAAGAGGCGGGCAAAGGTGGGAGCATTCGGGAGGGTTTTGGGTGGCAGCAGTAGCAGTGGCAAAAGTCAGTCCAGAACGAGGGGCTCGCCTTGCCACATGCCTGGTACAGGGGCTGCGTGGGGAAACGGTGGGCAGAACATGAGAAAACGGAGACACGTTCAGGCCCTTGGGCGGCAGTCGGAGGCGGTGGCGGACATCAGTCTAGAAGGACAAACAGGAAGGTGGAAACAACAAAGAGGCCTTTGGGCAGCAGCAGGAAGCAGTGGCGGAAGTCAGTTCAAAAGGAGTGGCTGGCCTTGCCACAGGCTTGGTATAAGGTGCTGCATGAGGGGAAAGTGGGGGGAACATGGGAAATGGAGAAATGGGTGGCAGCAGGAAGCAGGAATTCAGTCCAAATGGATGGGCTCGCCTTGCCACAGGCTTGGTACAGGGGCTGGAAGGGAAGCAGGGTGCGGAGGAGAAGCAGGGTGCGGAGGAGAAGCAGGGTGCGGAGGAGAAGCAGGGATAAGTTGGATACATCGGAAACCAACGGTGCTACGTGAAGGCCTTCACGTGTCAGGCGGAAACAGTGGCAGAGGTGGAACCAAATCGCGCGGATGCAGACGGGTTGTCCGAGTTGGGGAAGGCAAAGGGGGATGATGATCGGACATGCGGTTCTGAGAAGTCTTTGCTTGCATACGGATTACAACAGGCCTGGTACAAAAGACACCTGCATTCTCACGATGTTGGTTCTCTCCACGTCTGCCTCAGCAAAAAGCACCTCCCCATCACTGATGTTGAGGAGAGCGGTCCTTGAGAGACCCTTGCATGGATACCTCAACACTCAACTGAACTCTCCACCACACACCTAGCCACTCACAACACCCCCCAATCTACTCACCACGTACACCTTCTCTAGACCTCGCCAGAAACAATATCCCTGTCGCTGATGTTGAGAAAAGCGGTCCTTGAAAGGCCCTTGCTTGGATACCACCAGACTCAACCGCACACCCAACCGCGGAACTGCCACCCACTCGCCACATAAACCTCCTCTGCAAACCAGATCTCCCAATCGCTGATATTCAGGAGAGCGATCCTTGAGAAGTCGTTGCATGGATACCAGAGCACTCAACCACACAGCTGCCACCCACCACATGCATATCTACTCACCACAAAGCTCTCTACCCACCACACACCTAGCCACTCACCACGTAGACCTCCTCTGCAAACCAGATCTCCCCGTCGCTGATATTGAGGAGAGCCGTCCTTGAGAGGTCCTTACCCAGCAGCGGCTGTGCCACGTGCTGGTAGAAGTCCCACTGCAGAGACGTAAAAGAAATTTGGGGGGGGGGGGGGGGGGGGGGAGGGGGTTGATTAGGTGAGAGAAGAGCAGCATTACTTGCTCGGGCTGGTACTCAGCAGAGCGGCCCTTGAGAGGTCCTTGCCCAGCAGAGGCTGCAGAACATGCTGGTAGAAGTCCCACTGCAGAGGTTTGGTGGAGGGGAGAGTGGGGATTAGGGAGGGGTCGGGAGGCGGGTTGGCGGGAGGCGGGTTGGTCGGGCGGGCGATAAGTCAGTGACCCACCATGCAAGCACGGTCGGCGCCCAGCAGAGGCTGTGCCACGTGCTGAAGCCTCAAAGGCAAGAGACTCACCTGCCCAGCGTGGGCCAGCAACAGCAGCGGAAGGGGGGAAGCAGAGTGGAGGGTGCAGACGAGGAGGAGCAGGGAGTGTAGGGCGTTCTTGAGCATCCTTTAGACCCATTTGTTTCTAAGAACCCCCCACCTGTGCACGTACCTTGTGAGACCAGCACTCACCTGGCCAGCATGGGCGAGCAGCGGGAGCATGGGGGCCGTGCTGAGGGTGGAAGCAAGGAGCAGGAACTCCGGCTTTAATGCACCTCAAAGGTAGAAAGACTCACCTGGCCAACTTGCACTAGCAGCAGCATTGCTGGGGCAGTCTGAAGCGTGGAGCATAAGAGCAGGAACTGGGGCTCTAATGCACCTCAATGGTAAAATACTCATCCGTCCAGCATGCGTTAGCAGCGGCATCGTTGGGGCAGTCTGAAGCGTGGAGGGGAGGGGCAGGAAGAGGGCCGTTCAAAGGTGTCTTAACCCCACCTCTGCACCGTACCTTGTGAGTAGCGCTCACCTGGCCAGCGTGGGCGAGCAGCGGCATCGTGGGGGCAGTGTTGAGGGTGGACGCGAGGAGCAGAAACTGGGGGATCCACTCGATGAGTCCGTGGTAGAAGGAGGACGCCTGACGATACGCCAGGTTCACCACCCTCTTGACCTTCTTTATCTTGGTGCCTTTCTTGTACTCAAACTGGCGGGGGGAGGAGGAGGGTGGGGGGGGGAACAGCGGATGGGTAAAGGTATCCACTCGATGAGTCCGTGGTAGAAGGAGGACGCCTGACGATACGCCAGGTTCACCACCCTCTTGACCTTCTTTATCTTGGTGCCTTTCTTGTACTCAAACTGGCGGGGGGAGGAGGAGGGTGGGGGGGGAACAGCGGATGGGTAAAGGTATCCACTCGATGAGTCCGTGGTAGAAGGAGGACGCCTGACGATACGCCAGGTTCACCACCCTCTTGACCTTCTTTATCTTGGTGCCTTTCTTGTACTCAAACTGGCGGGGGGAGGAGGAGGGTGGGGGGGGAACAGCGGATGGGTAAAGGTTTCCACTCGACGAGCCCGTGGTAGAAGGAGGACGCCTGGCGATAGGCCAGGTTCACCATCCGCTTGACCTTCTTTATCTTGGTGCCTTTCTTGTACTCAAACTGCAAACACAGGGAGAAACGGGAGGCGGGAATGAGGGTAGAGGCGAGGAGGAGAAGCAGATCCAAAGAGGCGCCCACAGCCTGCAGCCCATTGGATGAGTCCGTGGCAGGAAGAGGGAGGACGAGTGGCTATAGAGTAGGATGATCCGAGCTTAACCCTGCAGATCTTCGTTCCCGTCGGGTATTTGAACTGCGGAAAGGGAAGAGGAAGGCGGGTTGTGACGTACTGTGATTCCACACTCGTGGTTCGTTTGAAAAGAGTGGAGGTGCATATTTCCAGTCATCAGCCCCTCACTGCACCTCACCGCATCTCATCGCATCTAAGCTAACCTTGCCGCACTGAATGCTCTACCACACCTGGCCACACCTCACCACCCATCACCGCACATCACCGCACATCACCGCACGGTCCGCACCTCGCTGTCCCAGTTGCAGCCCTCGCGGTGGAAGTGTGTCGTTTTGTTAAACATCAACCCCTCATCGTTTATGTAAACGTTGCGCAGCTTGTACACCTGAATGGGAACAGTCAAGGGAGGGGAAGTGGCAACACGCACAGCAGACACAAAAGCACAGCAGTCACAAAAGCACAGCAGACACAAAAGCACAGCAGACACAAAAGCACAGTAAGCCCAGCAATGAAGCATGAGCCCCTCATCAATTAAGTAAACGTTGGGCAGCTTGTACACCTGGCTTAAGAACTTTCCAGGAAAGGAAGAGAGGTCAACCACAAGAGCTGAAGTGACAGCAAGCCTAACACTCAGACAGCACCACTCCCTTGTAGACTATGCAAACGTTACCGCAGCCTCGGTTTTGAGGAGTCACAAAACTTGATAGCAACAAACAGCTGGAAAAATGAGGTGGGAGCCAGAAAGTGCATCATCTAATCCGGCATACACACCGCTGAGCAGAAAACGAGGGTAGAGTGAAGGTTGTTAACGTAGCGATGACAATATTCGTCACACCCCATGCCACATCACACAAAAACCAGAACGGAATGGACAACACCTGGAGGCAGGCACACGCTGCACCTGGAAGATCTGTCATTCGAACCAGAAAGAGTCCGGCGTGTGGCTAAAGCTCTCGTTCCCCCCCTCCGGCCCCAAGGGAGAGGCGTCCTGACACAGCTGAAACTTACTCTCAACGTACCCACCACACACACACCGCACCTGGAAGATCTGCCACTCGAACCAGAAGAAGTCAGGGGCGTGAGAGCAGCTCTCGTTGCGCCCCTCGGGCCCCATGTGCGACCGATCCTCCTTCGGGCAGTTCAGCGGCACGGGCGGCTTCACAAACCCCTCGTCCCTCCATGCTGCAGCCGGCGTGCACGCAGACGCATCCGGCCGCACGTCGCAGCTGCCTGAGAAATCCGGGCAGGAGTTACCCGGGCACTCAAGCGAAATCATTCTCGGGGAGTGCGACGACCCGATGTTGAGGTGCAAATTGTCCATTTCCTTACGGATAAAATCTTCGCTCATTGTCCCTTCCTTCACCACCCCCTCATCGATCGGAGTAACAAACCCCATTTCCCTCGGCGATTTCCCTCCTCCCTCAGCCATCCTCTCCACCCACTCCCTCCCTTCCTCTAGCAAAGGATCCTCCTCCTGCTCCCGAATCCTCCTAACGGTATAGTCCGAAATGTTTTTCAGCACGGGCAGCACGTCGGGCAGGTGAAACTCGAGCGGCGAGTCCTTTGTCCCGTTACCGAAGACTAGAAAGTATTTCTGCTGGGAAGCGGATGCAAGGTGGTGGTAGCAGGCGTTGAGGTAGTCTCTTGGGCGGATCTCGAGCACACAGGAGGAAGCAGGCATGAAGACCAGATTCGCCATGGCTGCTCCGTGTGAGGCGATGTACACCGCTGCCCGGTTGAACAGGGCCTTGGCTGATGGGACGAGAGGGGAGAAAAAGAGAGGGGAGAGAAAGCAAGAGAGAGGAGGGCATGATGACCAGATTCGCCATGGCTGTTCCATGTGAGGCGATGTACACCGCTGCTCGGTTGAACAGGGCCTTTGCTGGAGGTAGGAGGGCTAGGGGAGGGAGTGGAAGGGGGGGGATAGGGTCAAAACATGCTCTCTGCAACGCCATGTGTGAGCGCTGCTGTCACTCATCGTCCAAGATGCAGGGACTCATTAAAAACCACCGCCCTCTCTTTCCCAAGCAGCTTTTCCACCTCTGCAAGAAGCCCCTCAAACCCCACCACCTTCCTCGTGTTCCCTGGGCAACGAACAAGGAACCTAGTGCACACCATACCGTCTAAGATGGGCAGCGACCCATTGAAAATGACCACCCTCTCCTTCCCAAACATTTCCTCCACCGCGGCAAGAAGCCCCTCAAAGCCCACCATCTTCCGTGTGTTCCCCGGGCGCCTCGCCATCACCACCACCCAGTCATTCGGCAGCACGGCAGCACGGGCGTCGGACCAGGGCCCCGGGGAGTGGGCGCGGAGACGCCAGGGGGCAGAGAAGAGCGGGAGGCCATCGGGGGGAAGGAGGAAGTTGAGGCGGAGATGGCGCCACAAGCCCGGGCTGGGCTTGCCGCACCCTTGGTACACAGGCTGTAAGGGGGGGTGGAGGGAGCGGGTGAGAGGGGTTGGGGCGGGGGGGGGCAGAGGGGAAGGGATGGGCGGGGTGGGAAGGGAGTTGGCAACAAGTACCTTGTAGAGCGAACAGTGCAATGAAAGTGGACCTGGTAGGCAATCTCCGCATGTGAATGGGCTTGCAGTTTGGAGTTAGCTCGAGGCACTTTGTCCTGTGCACAGTGAAACACTGCAGTGAATGCTGCACCGAATATTGCAACGAGCAGCACACAGAATGGTGCATGGAACAGTGCAATGAACAGTGCTTGTAAGACAACATGAGTGTGCATGATGTTGGAACATCAGCGTGCGTACATCAGTACACAGTGCACAGTACACAGTGCACAGTGCACAATACAGACCGGATAGACAATATCGGCATGCATGATGTTGGTTTTCTTGGTGTCCTCCACCACTATGAGGTTCATTCGAAGCAATGTTTGTGTTGACTCAGGTCAACGTGTACAGTGCACAGAACACAGTACACAGCACACAGCACACACCTGGTAGACAATATCGGCGTGCATGATGTTGGATCTCTTGGTGTCCTCCACCACTATGAGGTTCATCTGAGTCGTCTCCAGCCCCACCAAGTGCCGCACCATCTCGTTGTAGAAGGACAGCTTATAGCGAGTACAGACACAGGAGCGAGCACGGGCAAGCAGAAAGAGAAGGGCAAGATGAATAACATTGCTGTGCTGCTGGGTGAGTAATTGCATGTGCATCCTCACTTGAACCTCAGGCTCAGGGCCTCACTAGTGTAGGAAGATAGCCATGCGAATAAGCATACTAGCATAAGCACAAACCCGCGAGCACCTCATGGTGGGGGGACAGAGAAGAAACGGAACGGGGGGAGGAGGAGGAGGAGGAGGAGGAGGAGGAGGAGGAGGAGGAGGAGGAGGAGGAGGAGGAGGAGGAGGAGGAGGAGGAGGAGGAGGAGGAGGAGGAGGAGGAGGAGGAGGAGGAGGAGGAGGAGGAGGAGGAGGAGGAGGAGGAGGAGGAGGAGGAGGAGGCAGAGGAGGAGGAGAAGGAGGCGGAGGAGGAGGCGGAGGAGGCGGAGGAGGCGGCGGAGGAGGAGCTGGGGAATGCAGCACCTGAGGGGAAGCCGGTACCTACCTGGCTGCCACTGAAGCGGAAGGGAAGAGGCATATCTACGGGGCAGGGAGGCAGAGCTGGGGAATGCAGTCCCTGATGAAGGCATTTCCAGGGGGAAGGCAGTTCCAGGGGGAAGGCAGCACCTTGCGGGAAAGCAGCACCTGGGAAAGGCAGCACCTACCAGGCTGCGGCGGAAGAGGATGGGGATGTCGGGGTTGGCTCTGAGCAGGTCTGAGGCATTAGTGTAATGTAAATATATGAAGGCACACCAGGGAGCAGGCAGTACCTGGGGCCCTGGGGTTACCTGGGGGGAGGCAGTACCTGGGGCCCTGGGGTTACCTGGGGGGAGGCAGTACCTGGGGCCCTGGGGGTACCTGAGGGCCCTGGAAGGCAGTGGTGCTCACCTGGCTGCGGCGGAAGAGGATGGGGATGTCGGGGTTGGCTCTGAGGAGATCCGCGAGGATGAGGAACTGCGGGAAGAACTCCACCAGCGAGTGGTAGAACGCCACCGCGTGGTTGTACGCCAGGGATACCACGCGGTGCAGCTTCAGCACCTGCGATTCGCCTGCCTTGTAGTCAAACTGTGGGCATTGCGTTGCGGGGGGGACAGGCAGAGAGCGCAGCAGAGAGGATGAGGAACTCAACAAACGAGTGGTAGAAGACGACGGCGTGGTTGTACGCCAGGAATACCACGTGGTGCAGCATCAGCACCTGGGATGGGATTCCCCTGCCTTATAGTCAAACTGTGAGGCGAAAATTTAGCAACATGTGTGTGGTTGGCAGGATAAGGAGAACATGGGAGGGTTGGTAGGAGGTAACGGGGGGAGGGTGAGCGAGAGGGAGAATTGAGGCAGGCAGGAAATGGAGGGGCGAGCGAGTGGTAGTGCACAGGGTAGTCTCATTGCCACAGCGTGGTTGTGTTGTGTGCCAATGAGACTACCCTGTGACTCAACAACTGTGGCAACCCTCCCTAGTCAAACTGGTAGGAGTTGGTGGGTGAGGCGGTTGCAGCGACTGAGATGTTTCAGTACCGGGACGAAGTACAGGAACACGACTCGCGATCCCCCAACTCGCTCCATTCACTTCCCACCTCTTCCCACTCGCACCCTGGTATACCAAGCACCCATGTAGGTATCCTAAGGTACTCATCCCAGCCCTCCCACGAGCCCACAAGCCCTCTCACTCCTCGCCCCCAAGGCTCACGTCAAGCTCTCAAAAGCACCCATCTCGGTATCCCTAATCTTCTGAGAGCTTTACCGCTTGTTTCCCCACACCCCCCCACAGCGCACCTCGAGGTCTCGGAAGCTTCCGTGGCGGTCGAAGTGTAGGGGGCGGTTGAACACGAGCCCGTTGACGTTGATGAACATGTCTCTCGTCTCAAAGTACTGGAAAACAAACGCACGCCCCCTTCGTCTCCCCCTCTCGCGTCCTTCCTCTCCCATGCAGGTCTCTGACGCACCCATACATGCGTATCACATTCCTCTCAACCCTCTCACTCCTCCCAACCGAGCCCCCTGCGCCCTCCCACTCACATCAAGGTCTCTGAAGCAACCGTGGCGGTCAAAGTGCAGGGAGCGGTTGAACACCAACCCGTTGACGTTGATGAACATGTCTTTCATCTCAAAGAACTGGAACACAAACGCGTCGTGCCAGTGGTGGTCCGTCTTGTGTGTGCACCGCGGGTCCGCCCCCAGCTCCCCCGACTCGTTCGCGTGCGACAGTTTCGGGCAGTTTTCCGGCTGGTCCGGGCGGTAATAAATTTCGTCGGCGAAGTCCGGGCGGTAGCAGGCGCGGATGTTGGGAAAGGCTTCCCCGCAGGAGCCAAAGTTCGGGCAGGGCTCACCCAGGCAGCGAAATTTCACTTGTCCAGGGTAAATGGTTTTGTGGTAGTTGAGAAACGAGTCGTTTAGATCGGAGCGGTTTATGCTCTTATCGAGTGGGACTGTAGCGAGTATGCCCTCGCGAGCTGATGTGACTGAGGGCAAGCTGTGCGGGGAAGAGGGGGGGGGGGAAGACCGGGAGGGGGGGGGGGGGAGGGGGAAAGGGGGAGAGGGGCAGGGGGAATAGTGAGAGGGGTCGGTGTTGACGATGAGCGAACGGAAAGGCAGAAAGTGACTGAGCCCTCTCGAGGCGATGTGACCGAAAGCAAGCTGTGTGGGGACGAGGGGGCCAGGGAGACCTAGGGGGGGGGGAAGAGGGAGTGGGGTGGGGCAGGGGGCATAGCAAGAGGGGTAGGTGTTGAAGATGAGGGAACTGAGAGGCGAAAAGGAGGAAAACGGGGGGTGGAATGGAGACGCAAGTGGAAGAAAGAGAGAGAGGCAGCTACGTGCCTCCATCTGCAACTCTTGCTGCCCTGCCTGCAGCACCCTCCCCCCCCCCGCCATGTCACCCGACTGCCCTCCTCTCCTCTCACTCACCTGCAACGTGCTGCTCTTTTTGAGTCGGCTCAAAAACTGCGGCACCCTCCCCCTTCCCCCCCCCATGTCATCCGACTGCCCTCCTCTCCTCTCACTCACCTGGTGCCTGCTGCTGTTCGCTTGGCGATCAACCCCTCCAGCTCCTCCACTCGCTGCAGCAATGCGTCAAGCCACTTTTGAGGCGCCTCAAAAGTCGTCTCTTTATCCGCGGATTTAATACAGGAAGAATTTTGGTTGCTTGGAAGTGTGCACGTAACGTGCAACAACTTTTGGTTCGCACGAGGTTACCACCTGCAGGTTCCAAGGCTCCCGAGGACAAACCCGAAGAATGACAGGGCACCTAGGTTTTTTCCGCACTGCTTTGTTGGCTTACTTCTTATCTAGTTGTGGGCCCGCCCGGGTAGGATTTCCCCAGAAGTAGATCTCGAGGCTTGGGTGTCTTTTTAAGACCCCTCGCTCTGAGGTTTCTTTTTCATTACCAGCTCATGCATTCATGAAGGTGTTGTGGGTCTGATCCCCACCACCGAAACATGTTTGCTTGTTGATTCAATTCAAGGGCCGGTTGAGAGACTTTTTCGAGTTCACCTATTTTCTGAGGGTACAAGTTTTTTTCTAACTGTCAGTTTTTTGCTAACGCGACCTTCCTACGCTGCTGCTACTCTTCCATGACAACTGATCCCCTCCCGCTCCTCCACTCGCTGCAGCAATGCGTCAAGCCACCCCCTTCCCACTACACCAACCCTTCACTCACCTAGTGCCTGCTGCTGTTCGCTTGGCAATCAACGCCTCGACCCCGGCAACTCGCTCCAGCAGCGCCTGTGCTATGATGGTGGCACTGGGAGGGCGGAAGAAGGTTGGGTGGGTGGAGGGAGAGGAGGCAGGGACCAGGGGAGAGGGGCAGAGAAGGATACGCTGTCAAATGAGCCCCTCTGCCTCCTCCACTCGTTGCAGCAACGCCTGCACTGTGATGGTAGCACTGGGGGGACGGGGGTTGGGAGAGAGGGGATCGAGAGCAGGAGAAAGGAGCAGCAGTTGGGAGCAGGAAACGATGCTCTATCAAACGAGCCCCTCCGCCTCCTCTACTCGCTGCAGCAACGCCCGCACTGTGACGTGACGACCGCAATAAGTTTAGGAAGGTAACAACAGGAGAACAAACTGGTGCTGTGTGTTACAGTCTGTGTGCTACAGTCTGTGTGTTACAGTCTGTGTGTTACAAGAGAACGCGAAACCTGAAACTACAACAAGGGGGCATTAGAGAATCAAATCTAAAGAGCACGAGCTCACTGGACAAACCTTGAACCCTGGTGTGCCAAACCAAGTGCATCACCAGACTGGCACAACAACTCGCCATACCCCACCACCACTGCTGCCACGCCCCCCCCCTACCTCGTCCACCAGCCCCCCCCACCACCACCACCGCTCAACTGGCCTGGCACTGACAGGGTGCTTCCCACGCAACTCACCGTTCCGACAGCGTGGCGTTGGCGTGCGCCACCATGGCTTCCAGCAGCGCCATGCCCCTCTCGATCTCGTCAACCAGCTCCCACCACTGCTGCTCAACTCGCCAGGGCACAGGGCATTCTGCTGACCATGCCACAGGGCAACTCAACTCACCGTTCCGACAGACTTTTGAGTCGACTCAAAAACCAGCTCACCACTGCTGCTCAACTCGCCTCGCCACGCCACAGGGCATTCTGCTGACTGGCATGGTGAGTTGCATGGGACGCACCCCATGGCAACTCAACTCAGCTCACCGTTCCGACAGCGTGGCGTTGGCGTGCGCCACCATGTCTTCCAGCAGCGCCACGTCCCTCTCTATCTCGTCCACCAGCTCCGCCTCTGTCCCCTCCGCTATGGCTAGTCTGGTGGCAGCGGGGGGGAGAAGAGGCGAGGTGGAGGAGGGGAAGAGGGGGGGGAGAGGGGGGGGCGTGGGGCGTGGGGAGGCTTGGAGGAACGGTAGCGCATTGCACCGCTTGGTACTCCTTGCACTAGGGATGACTGACAGTACATCAACCAAGCTTGCGAAATGAGGTGAAGACTCGTTGTGGTTGTTGAATCAGGACTGAGGATGGATTACCCTTCTCCCACCGACTCCCCCCCCTCCCCTCCCCTCACCCTGTCCCCATCACTCACCCTTTCTCCATCTGCTCGCTAAGAGCTGTCTCCATATCCGTTAAACGGTCCACCAGCGCCGCGCCTTCCGCGTCTTCCCGTTACCTTCTTCCAACCAGCCCCCCCAACCTGCCCTCCTGCCCCTCCCTCTCCCCCCCTCTCTCCCTCTATCCCTCTCCCCCCCCACCCCCCCACTCTCCCCCTCTCCCCCTCTCCCCTTCCCCCCCTTCCTCCCCGTGCGGCCCATCACTCACCCTTTCTCCATCTGCTCGCTAAGAGCTGTCTCCATATCCACTAATCGGTCCACCAGCGCTGCGCCTTCTGCTTCTGCCCCGCCGTCCGCTGGGGCCGCCCCCTCCACCATCTCCGGCACTATGATTGGCTCCTCGTCCGCGCCTGCAGCCGCTGCCACGTCAGCAGCAGGGAAACAGAGCCACGTCACCCAGGCCGGCAGCGGGAGTTGAGCAAGGGCGCGGGAGGAGAAACTAAGGTTGAATCAGGCGAACACTAGTGTCGTGTCATACGACATGTTACATAACGTGCTATGTAACGTGCTGTGTAACGTGTTATACGACTGACTTTTGACAGGTGACAGTTGCTGCTTTTTTAATGCACTCAGAACGCCAGGACCAGCTGAAACCTGCTTCTAAGTCGAACTCAAGGCAAAAGCCACAGCCAGCCGGAGCCGTAGCCAGCGAATTTCAGCACGCACGTCCTAAGCTCGCAATGGTCAACGAACGCAGACAGGTCGTCAACGCAAAGGTCAACGCAATGGTCAACGCAATGGCGGATGCAGGAACGAGTTAAGCATCCGGCATTGCCGTTTCGCAGTTTGCAACGAACGCAAATACCAACGAGTTGGGAAAGCAGCTGCCCTTCTGCTTCTGCAAATGGGATCGGCGGCGTTCCCGCGGCCAGATGCAAGGCGACAATGCAGAGTTCGCTTTTGATAATGCATAGAACGCGTAGCTCTCAAGGATAAGATGCGTTTCTACGGGTTAGACGCGAGACGGCAGGGCATAGAAGGGCGAGACGCGCTCTTACGGGTTAGATGCGCGGCGACAAGGCAGCACAGGAGCGCGAGCGGGATCGCAGAAACGCGCGCCGATCCCATGGCGGAAGTTCGTCGCTACGCTATCCGGCTTCCGAGACGGCTCAGAATTAACCGTGGCGAAACGCCACTGACGGCTACCGGTCGGCCGGCGATGGGCGGCTGTCGACGCTAGAAATGCAAGTATCACATGTCTCTAGCTCGACCTGCTTTTCTAGTTGCAATGTCTGCTTCTGCTCTGACAAGCGTACTTGCTTTGACAAACATCACTGCCTCTTCAACCACTACTGCCGCCGTACCCGTTACGATGCGGTCATTACGAACTTCAGCTGAATAAACAGTACACTGCAAGAAAACGCATGCAGCTCACTTCGGTAAATACTCCCCATAACTACCCATAACTTCGCTTCAAATCTTAGGTGGGCAACAGCTTCGGCCTATGTAGAGGAACTTGCCAAAAAATCTAATGTTTCACACATAAAATATGTACAAGCACTGCCATCATCCTCAATCGAAGGCAAGTTCATCCACAATAATGGCACCCCTAGAATGCATGAAGTAGAGACCGAGATGATGCGTTGCATCCTAGCACGAAGGAAAGAAGCACAAGCATAGGCACATAGGAGAAAGCCAAGAGCGTATCGTATTGGAAAATGGAAGAAATGTAGCACGCAAATCTAATGAAATGAGAACAATGACAAGGAAATAAGAAATCAAGATAACAAAGCCAAGTGATTGCGGTAACAAAGGGATGAGGCCACCTTACCTGAGGGTGTGATGCAGTGGCGCCCCTCCCAAGGCCCTCCGCTACTGGCCGGGGCAGGTTGTATGTGGAGCAGGCTGGGGCGAACACCACAATTTCCTTCAGTTGCTGCCCGAAAGACCCGTGGTTTCGGGCAGACAGCGCGGTCAGGACAAAATCCATGACACAAATGTCTGTGCAAATGCCAACTACCACAATCTGCAAGAAGGTCGAAGACGAGGAGGGCAAGTGGGCATGAGGACATGCTGGAGGGACTAAGTACACAGCTTTGAACGGAAAGTGGAGGAATCGAGGGGGAACAGAAGGGGAGGGAGACCAAAAGGAGACAAGGGTAAAGGCAGGAGAGGAGAGATGGGGAGGGTGGAGGGGAGAGGTAGGACTAGAGTGGGATGGGGGTAAAAGAAGCATACATGCTCCAGCTGGTTCTTGATCACCCATTGTGTCACAACATTCGTCCCATCTGCTTGAATGCCGCCCACAAACCCATTGATACAGTCCTTCTCCATTAGAGTCACACTTCCCCTTCTCACGCTCCCATCGGCAGCTGCTGCAGCAGCTTCGTCCCCCCGGCTTGCTTCCTTCTCAAGCCACGCCAAGGCTGCAGGGGACACAGGGCATGCAGGGGACACAGGGCATGCAGGGGACACAGGGCATGCAGGGGACACAGGGCATGCAGGGGACACAGGGCATGCAGGGGACACAGGGCATGCAGGGGACACAGGGCATGCAGGGGACACAGGGCATGCAGGGGACACAGGGCATGCAGGGGACACAGGGCATGCAGGGGACACAGGGCATGCAGGGGACACAGGGCATGCAGGGGCCACAGGGCATGCAGGGGACACAGGGCATGCAGGGGACACAGGGCATGCAGGGGCCACAGGGCATGCAGGGGACACAGGGCATGCAGGGGACACAGGGCATGCAGGGGCCACAGGGCATGCAGGGGACACAGGGCATGCAGGGGACACAGGGCATGCAGGGGACACAGGGCATGCAGGGGCCACAGGGCATGCAGGGGACACAGGGCATGCAGGGGACACAGGGCATGCAGGGGCCACAGGGCATGCAGGGGACACAGGGCATGCAGGGGACACAGGGCATGCAGGGGCCACAGGGCATGCAGGGGACACAGGGCATGCAGGGACAGAGACAGGATAAGAATGAAATGCTTTGTCGAAGGCAGAAAGGCTTTGAGCCTTGAGGAGCCTCAAAAGGCAAAGCTGCAAGTGGCAGCAGGCAGCCAGGGCCAGCGACAATCTTAGGAATGAGGTGGTTTATGGAGGGCAAGCATGTTGCACGGGCCCTCTGAAGGGCTGATTTCGGGAAGAAAAAGCAGGGGGGGGGGGGGGAGCAAGTAGGATTACCGAGACAACATAGTCACGCATCATATTAATCACTCACGCTCTAGTGGCTTTTCTTCCCCTGTGCCTTACATGCAGCCGGGAGGGAAAGGAGGCTCTGGCTTGTCAACTGAAGTACCTATTCTGTACAGCATACCCCCCTAACTAAGTTGGAAAATACGCTTGGTGGGGGGGAAGGGGGGGGCAGATGTCAGCGTGTTGCGTATTTACACTTGCGTTCGTAGGACATAAGCGATGCGCTTGATATGCTGACGGGCAGCCTGCGGAAAAAGATCGGAAAAAAAAATGTTGGCGACAATTTGCGAGTTGGCAATGTTTTCCACGTCGCCTATCCCGCAATTGGGTTTGAAAATTGAACTCCAACCCCAACAATCTTCCAAACTGCACCCAACCTCACTCCACCTCCCAAACCCGACCCCCTTTCTTTACAACTAGAACTCACCAGAGGACAGTCGTAAAGCAGAGGAGGTGCTCCAAACCTAATTCCCGCTCATAAGGCTCTTGCGTGATTCCCTCCCAAGCTCTCATGCCATAGTTCCTACTTAGCTCGCCAGCATCAATGTCGACCCCTACCACTCCCCTTAGTGCGACTATTGACAGAAAGGTGCTCAGCACCCCCCTCCCCTCCCCCCCTTGTAACTCATTCTTTTCCCCAGTCCAGATTTTTTTCCGCTGGCCGACCCTCCGTATTTCGTGCGTATCACCTACCCCATTTCGAAGCGTTCAGCGTATACACTCAGGCGTACAATGCGCTGAACGCATATTTTCCAACTTAGCCCTTCTGACACTCACCCTTGTCAAGTGAAGTACCCTTATACACTCACCCTCTACTAGCTTCTCTTCCCCTGTCCCCTTGCACGCAGTGAGAGGGGTGAGGTGGCTCGGGATTGTCCGATAACACATAAGCTACCCTTATACAGCCAGTCAACATACACTCACTCACCCTCTACTAGCTCCGCTTCTCCTGTCCCCCCCTCGCAGTGGGGAAAGTACAGTGCCTCGGGATTATCTAGAGTATACATTATTCACCCCATATACAGCCAGCCCATACATACACTCACCCTCTACTAGCTTCTCTTCGCACAAAGTGGGGAGGGTATAGTGCAGCGGGATTGTCTTGAGTATACATTATTCACCACTTATACCAGCCAGCCCATACATACACTCACCCTCTACTAGCTTCTCCTCCCCTGTCCCCCGTACGCAGTGGGGAGGGTACGGTGGCTCAGGCTTTTCCGCCTCGTGGGTGTCGAGAAAGGCCAATAGAGGCATGCCACGTGTCAGCATGTCCCTGGCCAAGGAGGATGTGCGTGAAACCATGTGCTCTATCTGCTCGTCCCTGACTGGAGGTGCCTTTGGGTAGAGATGGTGGAAGGGGGGGATGATTATAAAGGAGGTGGGAGAGGGGAGAAGGGGGTGGTGGGGGGTTGGGTGGGGTGGGGGGTGGAGATTGGGTGAGAGGGGAAGAAGGGAAGTGGATTAGACATTGGCGAGAGGGGTGAGAGAAGAGGAGAGGCAGAAAGAGAAAGAAGCAAAGCTCAGTGAACGATAGAGATGGGGGGGAAGAGAGGGACACAGTGTATCACGGCAAAGAAGAAGGAGATTAGAGGATATTGAGGCCATACCCCTGTCCCTCTCATCCTCTCTCCATCCCACTCACCAGATTCCCCATGCCTGGCGTGCAGAAGCCGTTGACCTCATCCACTACCACCAGCCCCACGCGCGAATCACAAGCATCACGAATCTCACCAGATTTCCGTATTCCCTAATGTTAACTGTTTCTCTCGTATCTATATCACTCACCAGATTCCCCATGCCTGGCGTGCCGAAGCCGTTGACGTCATCCACCACCACCAGTCCCACGCGCGAAACACAGGATACAAAAAGAAACACCAAATGAACTAAATGTCAACTTTTTCCCCTAGTCTCTATCACCCACCAAATTCCCCGCGCCCGGAGTGCAGAAGCCGTTGACCTCATCCACAACCACCAGCCCCACGGGCGAATCACGGGCGATGCGGAGCTTCACAGATTCCACGGGGAGGTGCTGACGCAGTGCTGACATCAGCATGCCTTCGTTAGGAACCGACATTCTGAGGCGAGAATAGGGATGGAACAAAGACGATCCTAGCAGGAGGCTACCGTCTAATTCCAGTGACGGAAGGCCAATAGTAAGGGTTACAAAAAAGGCGGTACTAGCTTTAGTACGGTATTGCTTTTGAGGGTCACAAAACGGAAGGCAGCCTGTAAGGGTAAAAAGAATGGGCGAAAACTTTAAAACTACGACGGTGGCAAAGGTCCATGAGTTAGAATCAGGAACATGATACGCGCAGGATCCCGAGCCTTAAGAATTATACGAATTTTCGTGGACAGCTTGACTCATAAGATCGGTTGATGGTCTAATTCAGACGTATCTGGGCGAGTTTCAGGAAAACTATGGCGGAGCTGTCGGAACAGTGAATCTGCCGCCCCAGCCAGTCGCACGCAACGGAGCAGCGAAGCGGGAAATGCGTAGGGAGCTCTTGGTGAGCATCAGGACCCAGGATTCAAGAGGACTTCACTAACCGCGACAACAGCCACTGTCAGGGAAAAAGCAGGTCTATCTAGGCTCTGTTCCATTTCGACTAAGAAAATGCTGACAAGAAGCTGTTACCATGTAGACTTCTTAACACGATAAGTGGGAAATGGACTACCCGCTAGCGAAAGAGTTTCGGAAGGGAACGGAATTGTTCGCATTAACGAAAATCCATTCCTGTCGTAAGGTCTTCCAATCCTTCGTGAATTCTCACAGATAACTTTCTGGGATTTCCCGAGCAAACTACCCCGGTATGCAATTTGAATTGATCCTGCGTGCCTGCGGAACGCGCTGTCGAGGAGCTTCTGTACTGTATTTGCATTGGGAGCTTCACTATTTCGTATTCCTCATCAGTTCATTCTTGCAGTCACTCCGCGAAATGCTAGTTTCTCCGTTGTCCATTTTGCGACACTGCCTGCTCCGCTAAGATATGCTCGCGTGAAAGTAGTTTCTCTTACCGTGCGTCTCTCCCTCCCTATTCGAGAAAAGCTCAACTCTTCCTACTCACCCGCCATGCGGCCAGTGTCTCTTGCCGAGATGCATCGCCTGCTTGCCGTGTCACCAGGCGGTCGACTGCTCGGATTGGACGTAGGAACGGTGCTGGTAGGCGTTGCCGTGTCCGACGCAGCGAATCGGGTGGCATCGCCTCTGCCTGTCGCCAACAGGCGATGGCAGAGGAGGAAGGAGCATAGAGATTTTGGCATCAGCAGCAGATATAGTGGGCGTGGAGTTGAGATTGATCATGGATCGGTGGACGGCGGTGGCAGTGGGGATGTGGGGGAGGAAAGAAACGGAGATGCGGTTATTTTAGATGAGAGAGGCAGTCTTGATGAGGGGATAAGTGTGCAGGAAGATCCTGGTTTTTATAATCTGAGCCACAAAAGGTCAAGTTCAAATGGTGGCTCAGTCAGCACAGCCCGCAGCAACAGCAGCCATAGACCTGTCAATTCCAATCTTCCCTCGTTGTCACAAACTCTCCGGAACCGGCCCGTTTCACTTAGAACACTTGACTCCATTGCTCGCTCTCGCTCAATTGTTGGCATGGTTGTGGGATTTCCGTTGGAGCTGTTTGGCGGCCGCTCCAATATGACCCCTGTGATTCAGGACTTCCTGTCCGGGGACATTGCCAGGCACTGCCCCTACCTCCATAGCGTCCCACACTTGTTGTGGGATGAGCGCCTTTCTACAGCATCTGCAACTGGGGTTCTTCAGGGGCTTGGTTTGCACGCTGTGTTGGAGAAGCAGCTCACCGACAAAATCTCAGCGGTGTACATCTTGCAGGGTTGTTTGGATGCGCTTGCTCATCATCACAGGGGGGTGCGTTGATTGTTGATTCATACTTAATTCTTCCTGCTTCTTGGTACAACATATAAAACAGAAGCCTGATGTGTCTCTTTGATGCATGAGGCTAAGGGTCAAACCCACTTGAACCTTGAGCCCCTTCTGGCATGCGTATTCCTGATAGCCACCATTCTAATCCTCGTCTTCGCTGCTGAAGTCCTGGAATTCATCCTCGCTCTCGCTCTCGTCACTGACATCACTCAGCACTAGTGGCTGCTTCTTCTGAGCTCCACGAGATAGATGAGCACGGCCTTCCGCAGTTGCAGCTGTAGGCAAGCCACTCTTTTTGCTGAAAGGGGATGGCCGCATCCTCTGCACCTTGCTAACTGGTTCCTTCACTGGAGACTTCACGTCCACATCGTCCAAGAACTCAAACTCATCACCCAAAGTTGCATCCTCCACCTGCAACACATTTTACTATCACCATAGCATGTCAGCGACAGCCGATCGCAAAAGCGGTGCCTTCCCGTGAACGAAAAAACACACTAACCTGTTCCTCCTTTTTCTTGGTGGCAGGTCTTTTTGTCGCGACCCTCTTGGCGGGTTGTCTCTTGGACACTGCAGTTTTCACTTGTGCCTCAGCTTCTGAAGGATGAACCAGAATCAGAGTCAGCATACAGAAACTGTCTAAGCCCAATGAACCAACGCGAAACTGGAGTCTTTGCACTCACCTCCTGCTGAAGTTTTATCCTGCAATGACATCTTCGCTGCCATAGCTGCAAGCCTCTCTCGAAGGGTTCCTCCGCCGAAGTCCTCCTCACTGTCATAATCCTGGAAACATGCAAAGCAGCGCATGGTTCAGCCTTAGTTCTACTACGCACATTCTGAAAGTTCAGGTATGGTGATCAGAGAGTGACATACAGAATCAGCCTGAGGTTTCGCCTTGGGAGGAGGCTTGACCACATCCGGCTTTGGTGCCTGAAAAAAAGGAGGAAATCATAATTACAGCAGTTAGCATCAACTGAGAACCTGCGCATGCATCATGGCGTCCTTTTCATCTACTAAATCTCAGACCCACACACCTGAACAGGAGGCACAGGCGCCTGTGGTTTTGTCGCAGCAGCCACAGCCACCGGCTTTGCTGCTGCAGAAGTGCCCTTTCCTCGCTTCACTTTGGCCTCTGCAAGACAAGCAACGTGATGTGAAGTCAGAATGTGGCCAGTGGCAGCGATTACATGTCTCGCTGAGCATCGGCCTTCCTCACCTTCCACCATGAAGTCATCATCGGTGTCTGAGATGAAGTCCATCTCTTCATCGCTGAAGACCTGAGCCTTCTTTGGTGCCTTCTTGGGCTTGACAGCCACAGCCTTGGCAGCACGACCCTTCCCCTTGCCAGCCTTGCCTGCCACCTCTTTCGCCTTCTCCTGAGCTGCCTCCTCCTCCGCAACCTGACATTTTCATTTAAAATATGTTAGCTTTAATCCAAAAGCAAGAGCCAGAGGGAAATGTGGGTCACAGTGGATAAAACGTACCTCGAGCTCCTCAAGGAACATGTCCAGGTCCCTCTCCCACAGCTCCTTGGGCTGCGTCTTCAGCAGAGTGTCATGGTCGTCTTGATTTTTCTTCTGCTCCCTCAGCAGCTCTTGCACCTTCTCCAGGGTCAGGCTCCACAGTGGCATGCCCAAGAGATAGTCATAGCCTCCATCGCCCGCCTTCTTGACCTGTGAACCCCCTTCCTCTTCATGAACCTCCTCTCCATCGTCTTCACCCTCCTCATGTGCAGCCGTGGATGAACCACTGCTGCCACTGGCATTGACTTTTGGCAAAGATGCGAACTTCTTCTCCTGCAAGAAGAGGTTAGAGAAAAAATGTTAAAACTCGCCCATAGGAACACAAATAACAGGAGAACACAGCAGCAAAGTCGTACCTTGAGTTCAGCCAGGAGCTCCGCCTTCTTCCGGTTGCTGACGATGATCTCTCCACGCACAACAGCGAGGATGAACCTCACTCTGTTGTCCAGCTTGATAAGCTCATTCCGAAGTTGCTCCAATTGAACATCCTGTAGAGCAATATTGAAGAGTTCACAGTTAGTAAATATGTTCTGAAAGCGGAGTAGTTCTCCGAAGTAGTGTATCCATACCTTTCTCTTCTTGTAGTACTCCAGCCGAAGGTGATAGAACTCTTGAATGACTGCAGCATTGCACAAACAGGACCCAGATTTAGACTCTATTGTGACGCTCTCTGCCACAGGTTTAGCTCATTGTTGTAAGGGTTCTTACTCTCTTCTGGAGTCTCGTATTTCCTCATCTTCCCATCCTTGTCAAAGAGGTGCATGTTGCTGGTCCCCACTGATGCAGTCAGCTTGAACCGCTTGACCAAGCCTTCAGCCTCTGCAGTTGCCATTCCCTCGGGCGACAAGTGCACCTCAAAGTGCACAGTGGTGTCAGTGTGATGCTCCCTCATGTCCTGCCGCACAAAACAAAAGCATGTTAGAACTACTGCAGGAATTAAACCAGGACACTCACTTTACATCAGACTGGCCATCACGTCCCAGTTACCTTGATGAACGGCTCTTTGTTCTTGTCATTTGTGACCATCATCCCCTCCAAGAACTCCTTGTAGTTCTGCGTCCAGGTCCGGATGGGCAGCTCGGTGATCTCCAGAACGGTGTCGCTGACTTTGTTGATCGTTCCAGTCACAATGTAGTTCCGGCCATCTTTGCTGCTGTTGTGTTCCACAGTTCCCTGTAAACAGAGAAACGAAAGCGAATACAACTAATTAAGTACAGGAACCGACCAGAAATAGGTTATCAGATTTTCAGCAATGTGTTCCTCGGATAGAGATTGTTACCTTGAATCCACGGAACCAGGGGTGCAACGGCTCCATCTCCTCCCCATTCATCAGCCGCTTGAGGTTGTCGACAATGTCTCGCGGGTTGAAGGTTGGCACGTAGGAGCTCCATCCAGTTCCAATTCCTTCACTTCCGTTGACGAGAACCAAGGGGAGGATAGGAAGGTACCTGGAAAACAAATGCAAACACACGGTGAAATGGGCATTCAATAGTACCAGGTAAAACTGTCGTATGTTAACTCAAATTTCAACCAGCATACCATGTTGGCTCGATCTTCTGTCCGTCTTCATTGAGGAAGTCCAGAAGAGCATCATCCACCTCAGAGAAAAGGATCCGTGCAAGCTTGTGCAGCCTGGTGTAGATGTAACGAGGGCTTGCAGCGTCTTTCCCTCCCTGCAATCAACAGCCACCGCTTGATCAGATCCATGATAACATGTTGTTGAAGCTGAATGGGTTGACATAATATCCATGACGTCTTCCTGACATACCTGAAGGCGGGTGCCGAACTGGCCACTGGGCACCAGCAGGTTGATGTTGTTGCTGCCCACAAAATCCTGGGCAAGTCCAATGATGGTGGTCATCAAGCTCATTTCACCGTGGTGATAAGCTGAATGCTCTGAGATGTAGCCGGCCAGTTGTGCAACCTGAATCAACAAGCCACGGACATGGAACGTTTTCATCAGGTGACCACATAGATGAGTTGCTGACAGCAGAAACCGTTACTTGCCTTCAGAAGCTTCTGAAATGATACCGTACCTTCACGTCACTCTTCAGTTTTCTCTTGAAGCAACTGAAGAGAATCTTCCGCTGCCCAGGCTTGAGACCATCCATGACTGATGGAATGGATCGCAGGTTGTCAGCAATCGAGAAGAGAACCAGCTCCTTGTTGACAAAGTCGCTGTAGCTAATCGTCTTGGCACTTTGATCCAAGAAAGTCCCAGGCTGAAAACAACAAGGGAAAAGATTTGAGCATGTGGTACCAAGACGACACAAGTATACAGCAATGCATGTCACTCATAATTACCTCGACATTGCGAAGCCATGCCTTCCTGTCTTCCACCTTCTTCTTGCTGAACGCCATGTCAATGCTATCGCCATCCTCTTCTCCAGTCCACTCAAAGCTCTTCCGGTGCTTATCAAGGGCTGCAAAGTACTCCTTCGCTTCCTTCGGTGTACTTGTTCCCAAACCCTGTGAGACCATAAATAGAGATTGTTAGCTGTGAAGATTCATAAGCACCTAGTGCCGTAGGCACCAAGAAGAGAACTTGCCTTATAGTACTTGATGGACCATCCTTTGGTACTTCCCCCAAGTGATTCTTTCCATGCCTCATACTCTGGCATGGTGTAGAAGGAGAGGACCTTTCCCCGTGGCCCAGTAGCCTGCATAACGCGAAATGTTCAGCTTTAGGCAAAACTGATTGGACACAGGATGTTGTGACACACAGGAACATGATTCTACAAGGAAATAAAAAACGGAGTTTTGGGCAACAGTCAACTGACCTTGACGATGGGCGTGATGAACTCCAGCAAGAAGTTGGGTTGCTTCAGGAGTGAAGGCCAAAAGGCGTGGAGGAAGTTGATAAGGAGGCCCTTGATGTGAGATCCGTCGTGGTCCTGCATTGACAAACTCCTCAAGTGAGAAACAGAAACCCCTTAAAAACTTTTTTAAATGGCCTACATCCGTCTGATTTGCGTACCTGATCAGTCATGATCATCAAATGGCCGTATCGAAGGGACTTGGTGCTGTCATAATGCTTTCCCTGCTGAAGCCCCATGATCTGCTTGATGTTGGTGATCTCTGCGTTGTCTGTTAGCTGCTTGGCAGGGGCATCCCTGACGTTCAGAAGTTTCCCACGAAGAGGGAATACTCCGTACTTGTCACGACCCACAACACTCAGACCGCTCACCTGCAAAGTGAACCAAACCATGCAAGAATACATCTATTTGAGGCACCTTCTGGAAGCACAATTACGGACCAATCGAGTGCATGAATTCCATATCACGCAACGTTGAACTCGCATTGAGAAATACTTACAGCAAGAGCCTTTGCAGAGTCTCCTTCAGTGAGGATCAAGGTGCACTGCTCAGAGTTGCGTCCTCCTGCATCGTTCGCATCGTCCAGCTTCGAGATTCCTGTGAGCCGCTGCTTCTTGCTGCCGTCACTCTTCTTCATATCCTTGTTCGCTTTGAAGGTTGCGAAAGAGAGGATACTATCAATCACACCCGATTTCGCAACTGCAAGACAGTCAATACGCGGGACGTCAGCAACGTCCGAGAATAAACTTGAGAATGACGACGAACAACACGAACCTTTCTGGAGGAAACTGTCCGGGAGCTTGCATGTGGAGCCAAACTCGCTCGCTCGGGTGTTCAGCGTCTCCTTGGTCTGTGAATCGAATGCTGGGTTGACGATCATCGAGTTCACGAAGACCCACAAGTGGCACTTCACTTGATGGGCCTTTATCGCCGGAGCGCCTTTCCCTGCCTTTTTCTGCGCCTTCTCCATCAGGAATTTGGTCACTTGATCTGCGACAAGATTAACATGGGTGCCGCCCTTGATTGTCGCGATGCTGTTGACGAAGCTGACCTGCAAATAGGCATTTTTGAGTCAGTGTTGACGGAGATGATGTAGTGCTGACGTTGACATTTCAGTAAGAGTATATACCTGTTGAAACTGGCCGTCACTCAGAGAAACGCAAACCTCCCAGTTGTCGTTGACCTTCTCGTAAACCCTGCCAAAGACGTTCCAGAATGAAAACCGGCTCACGTCGATAAGTCTGAAACTCTCTGAAAGATAACCAGGTACTGTTTTACGCAAATTGCACTCACTTTGGCAATGGGCCCGGGACCTCGCCACCTGACTTGGACGAGTCAAGGTAAAGTCCAACGTAATCCTGGAAACTCTTCAGAGGAACCTTGTTCCTATTCAGCTCGACCTTGACAGTTTTTCCGAGCACTCCAGCCATGTCAACGACACGCTTGCTCATGAGAGCGACATGGTCAGCATCCAGGTGTGTCAGCTTGAACTTTGCCAGGTCTGGATGAAAAGTCACGCGTGTCCAGCTCTCTCCTGACCTGGTTTTCGTAATTTCGGGCTCCGACTTCTTGCTCATGTTGTCATTGAAAACCTGTTGGCAAGGCGGAAGAAGTCAGTTGGTATAAAAAACGAAGAATCGGAGGGAAGAGTTAGTTGCAGAATAGGACAAGAGTTCTCACTGTTGTGGTGAGCGTCCTACCTGCCTATACTGCTTCTTGCGCTCGCCGTCTGCAGTCTCGATGACGAACTCCGTTGAGAATATGTTAGCAAGCTTAGCACCGTAGCCATTGCGACCTCCCGTCGTCTTCTTCTCCGTGTCGTCGTAATTGCTGCTGGTGAGGAGGTGGCCAAAAATCATCTCCGGGACGTAACAGTTCTCATCCGCGTGAATCTCGATGGGAACACCTTTGCCGTTGTTCCACACCTGAAGCAAGCAAAATCACCCGTGAGAATAGTTTCGTTGGTAGACTGACTTGATGTTGCGATCCAATCCTGCAGCTTACCTGGATCATGTTCTTCTCTGGGTCAATGTTCACTTTTAGTAAATCCATAGAGGGATCCCTCTGCTTGTTGTCAGCCGCGTTGACGAGAATTTCATCGAAGATCTTGTACAGGCCAGGAACAATGGTCGCCTCGCGGTGTACCATTTTTCCGTTCTCATAGACCCACAGGGTCTGCGTGTGGCTCTGAACTGATCCGACGTAAGTGTCTGGCCTAAGGAGGACGTGCTCTAGCGGGGTCTTCTTTTGATACGTCTGCTCGATTGTTCTTCCTTTTCCGATATTCGCTGCCGTGCTTGGCTGAAGAGGTTCCTTGGCTTTCTTCGGCCCGCCTTTCGGTGCAGCCTTCTTCTTCGCCTGCGACGAATCCATTTTACAACGTAAGGAAAACCATATGGCTGCATATGAATTGTGTGAGTGCACGAATGGTGTGCGTACTTACGAGTGGAATGAAGTTCTCATCATCGCTCATGTAGTCGTACTCCATTCGTCTATCGTAGCTTTCAGGCTCTGAAGGTCGGGCGAACTGGTGGAAAATCTGTAAGGAACTGGTCCACTAGGCTGATGGCTGCTTCTCAGCCCTCACTGATGCACACGCAGTAACTAGTCAAATGTTCAGCTGGGACTCTTGGTGCGGGGGACTGGCAAGATGACTTCTGTCTTGGCTGTCATGGTGGATGTCAAGCAGGGTGCATGCAGCGATGCCACAACACCAAGCCGCCTTGGGTATGCCACCAGGTTTCGCGCCAAATTTCAAAAAGCGTGAGCTCTGCCACAACCTGCGACAAGCCAGCACAGCGTCAGACAGGTTGGCATGATTCGAGCCATCATGTACACTTCTAGTCCCAATATCGTTGTCATTAATCCTTTATGATAACTACTACTTGTACCATAATTACCATATGGATTTTATTGGGAATATTTCGTGGAATATTTCGCACGTTATTTTATAAAAATATGTGGTTAAAATTGTAGTATTCGTGAAAAAAACCATTATGATGCATTTTTTAGTTCGATACAGCTTATGAACACCATGACAAAGAATTCCCATCTGTCTACTATTTTTGTTCCATATTGTTGGAAGACTATGGATTGATTTCAAGCTTGGTGCTTGCATTGATGTCGTTATCACGTTTATACTAGCACTTTGCCCTAATGAGTCGTAAATTATGTGTTAGAATACTAGAATAGTTTGAAACAAGGGTGAACAAGAGAGATATAAAGTTGGGGTTGTTGTTAAAATTATATAAGTTATAATTTTATATAGGCTTGGTAGGTTGCTACTGAACCTTTCTGTAGGGGGTACAAACCCCTCCTTGTACTCCCTTCTCTTCCTAATCCAACTCTCTTTCTTCTCGACTTTCCTCCTACTCCTAGATCCGTTTTTCCTAGCGCCGTTCCATGGCGGCCTTGCTCCTATCCTAGCTAAGCTAGTGTCCTAACTTTAGGGACCTAGCATCCTAAGTTCTTAACATGGTATCAGAGCAGGAGATCCTTCCTGCTGGACTGCCTCCTCTCGCTTCCGCCATTTACTCCTCACCCTCATTCACTCCAGCGGCCATGGCGGCCGCGTTTTGCTGCAGTGGCGACGTCGCGCTGCCACTGGGCGCGTCGTGCCGCGACCGGCCCGACGCGCTGCCGCGGAGTCGGGCCGTTGTTCTGCAGTCGCAGCGTCGACGCCCCGCTGCGGCATCGACGCTGCCATGGCGGCCGCGGCGACGTCACGCTGTGGCGTCGTCGTCTTTTCGCTGGCTGCGCCGTCCTGCCGCGGCCGTCTCGACACGCGACCGGGACGACGTCAGCGCGACGCCGCGGCTGCGCCCCTCCTGGGCCTCGTCGCGCCCTGCCTGGCCTCGTCGCACCCGCTCGGCCCCGTCGCGCCCTGCCTGGGCCTCGTCGCGCCCTGCCTGGCCTCGTCGCACCCGCTCGGCCCCGTCGCGCCCTGCCTGGCCCCGTCGTCACCTGCCCGGCCCCCTGCCAGTAAGCGCCGCGCCTCTTATGGCGCGTCGCTGATGACCCGCCTCGCCCCGCCCCCCCCCCCCCCTCCCCCCCATTCTCCCTTCCCCCCCCTGCATCTTCCCTTCCTCCTGTCGCAGCTGCTGTCTTCTGCCCGGTCGTTGCCACATTGCCGAGAGCCCTCAGCCGCGGCAGTCGCCGCCTGTCGTCGGCGACCCAGCCGCCTTGAGCCAGAGCTCCGCGGCTGCTTGTCGCTGACCCGCCTAGACGCCGTCGGCTGCCTCGTGTACGGGGGTGTGTCAACGCTTTGCCTGAGGGTCAGATACCCGGCTAAGCACGAGCTTGAGGGTGTGCGGGGTTAGGGGGTGGGTTGGGTGCGGGTGTGGGGGTGTGAGTGGGCTTGACACTACCAAGCCTAGGGGGTGTGTTAAAATTATATAAGTTATAATTTTATATAGGCTTGGTAGGTTGCTACTGAACCTTTCTGTAGGGGGTACAAACCCCTCCTTGTACTCCCTTCTCTTCCTAATCCAACTCTCTTTCTTCTCGACTTTCCTCCTACTCCTAGATCCGTTTTTCCTAGCGCCGTTCCATGGCGGCCTTGCTCCTATCCTAGCTAAGCTAGTGTCCTAACTTTAGGGACCTAGCATCCTAAGTTCTTAACAGTTGTACCCACTAAGAGCATAAACATATCTAGCCTATAAATTCTACATAGCATAATATGTAAAAGTTGACACACCCCCTAGGCTAGATAAGGGGTAGTGCTGAGCAAGAAACAAGCACCTCAGGGCGGCACTACTAGACCAACCTCTGAGGCAGGGGTCCGAAGACCAGTCAGCAAGAGTACAAACAAGACATGAGCAAACCAGGGTGGCACTACTAGTCCGACCACTGAAAGAGCAGCCACAAGGCCAGTCTGGAAGGTATAAATATAGAGGAGTACATTATCAAGGTCCTAGAAAGTGAGAGTCTACAGGAACTAGACCAAGTTGCAACAGTGCCGCTGATGATCTTTAGGCGCAAGCGCCTAAGTAAAGATATCAGCTTTCATGGCACCGGAGGACAAGTGTACTACGCGGGCCTCGTGACGCAGCTGGAGCTCGCGCAGGAGAAAGTACCGCAGCTGGATGTGCTTCGCTCTGCCCTCAAGCCGAGGCTCCTGACACAGGAGGATCATGGCCCTGTTGTCAGCGTACAGGACAGGGGCAGAGCTAGGCCGCTCACCTAAGTCGGTGAGCAAGAAGGTCAGCCAGCGGAGCTCCTGTGCCGCCATGGCACCATCGTAGATCTCAGCCTCACAACTAGACGTGGCAACAGACGAGGAGCGAGTGGACCTCCACGAGATGGCACCTGAACCAAGGCTAAAGCAGTAGCCCTGGGAGGACCTGAGGGCCTCAGCGTCGTCTGCCCGAGAAGCGTCTGTGTGCCCGGTAAGGACCACTGGCCTGTGTCCTCCCAGCGCTAGCCCCATGCCCGATGCATTCGCAAGATAACGCAAAACCCTCTTAGCGGCCGACCAGTGCTGGGGTCGGTGTCTGCCTGTGGCCACAAAGCGAGCCAGTATGCTTAGAGGGCATGCAAAATATGGACAAGTACAAGTCATCAGGTACATGAGGCAACCCACCAGCTCTGCGTAAGGACCACTGGGCTCTGCTGACTCCTCAGGAACGGGAGCCGATAGAGGTGTAGGCTGCGGGGAGGAGAACTGAGGACCGAACCTCTAAAAGACTTGGCGCACCAAGTGTGACTGTGTGAGAGTGATGGTGCGCACTACTCTGTCCGTCTAGATCTGCAAGCCAAGGTAGCGGTGCAGCTCTCCTAAGTCAGTGCAGGTGTGTCTCCTCAACAGCTCGGCCTTCACGGAGGCCAGTGCGTCTCTGTCTGCAGTAGCGAAGACTGGTTGTCTACGTAGACAAGGATGTAGAACAGATTATGGCCAACACGAACGAAGAGCGAAGGGTCTGCAGAGGATGGAAAGAACTGCAAGTCAGCTAGTATACCACGCAGCGGATCGTGCCACTCACGGGGTGCCTGTCGCAGGCCATAGACCGGGCGCCGGAAAAGCCACTAGGTCCCAAGAGGGAAGGTACCAGTAAAGCCCTAAGGAGGGCGCAGGTAGACCTGCTCGTGTTGGCAGCCCTGAAGAAAAGCAGTAGAGAAGTCGAGGGAGTGAAGCTCGTAGTCACGATGTGCTGCTACGTGTAGCAGTGCCCGAAGAGTAGTCATCTTCAGGGTCGGGGCGAGAAGAAGTCCACCCCCTCGCGCTGACTGAAGCCTCGAGCCATGTAGCGCGCCTTGAAGACAGGCGGCTCTCCAGGAGGGCGCTTCACCTTGAAGATCCACCGACCATCGACTACGTTCACCCCAGGTGGGGGAGCTGCGTCGACGTAGGTGCCGGTGGATCTCCAAGATGCCATCTCCTGCTCCATGGCAGCTATCCACTGAGAGGCTCAAGGTCCCGAGGTCGCCTCAGCGTAAGTGCGAGGGGTCGGGATGTCGAAGGCGTCTGGGTCACCCTCAGGGACTAGCAGCATGGAGCAGAGATGGGGAGTAGCCTCGGACAGGAAAGCAAGCTCGTACTACCTGTCCTCTAGAACATCACTGCCAAGGGCCGAAGCACCCCTGACGGACGGAGGACGGAAAGGGTCAGAGACCAGAGTGGTGGCGTAGTCAAGGCGTCAGGTAGAGATGAAGTCCGCGACAGGCGTGACAAGAGCGTCAAGACAGGAGACAGGAACAGACGGGTCGGTAATGAGGGAGGCAAGGATCCAAGGAACAAGAAGATGAGCAGCACAAAGGTAGTCTGACAGAGGGGGAGGCGTGACAGCGAGCGACGACGGAGGAGGCAAAGGCAGGAGGGGAGGACGAGACGTGTGGGAACGAAGCGTGGGGTCAGGAGACAGAAGAGGTGTAAGAGGAGGGGAAAGAGGCGGGAAACGAGCCGGGGAGGAGTCAGGCGGAGGAAACACAAGGCCGTGAACAGGTAGGGGAGGAGGCGGCGGTGGAAGCGCAGGTGAACGGTCAGGGGAGGGAAGGCCGAGCAGGCAAAGGGCGGACACCGGCGGCGACTGCTGCTGCTGTTGTTCGACGCCGACACCGGGACACTCCACTCCAGCACCCCAAGAGCGAGAACCCTCTCCAACACCGGTGCCACCTCCGAGCTCACGGGGACAAGCCACGACAGGAACCCCAGGACTAGCACCCTCCTCAATACCAGCACCCCCAGAGTCCACGAACGGCTGCTGCTGCTGCAACGGCGGCGGCGGCGGCTGCGGCTTTGGCGACATATGCTGCGGTGGCAGTGACTGCAATGGCGGAGGGGGAGACACTGGGGGGAGGACAGGTGGCGTGAGCTTTGCTGCAGGGCCACCAGAGTCACCCAACTCCTCGACACACCAGATGGAGAAGGACGGGGAGGAAGGGGAGGAGGGGCGATCGGGGGAGTGGGGACCAGAAACAGGGGGGGGGGAAACCGGGAGACCTCGGTGGGTAAAGCAGTGGTAAAAGGAGACCAACTCGTCGAAGGTGACGTCACGGGAGTGAAGGAAGCGGTGAGACTCCGTGTGGTAAAAGTGCCAGTCACACGAGCCCAGGGGGAAACCGAGGAAGACACAGGGGACAGTGCGGGCAGTGAGCTTGTCCGTGCCAGAGGCACAGACGTGAGCAAGGCAGCCCCAGACGTG